ATTACGTAATTATCAATCATCATTCGTCGCTGCAAATATTTTCGTCATCATCATCATCATCATCATCATCATCATCATCATCATCATCATCATCATCATCATCATCATCATCATTATTATTATTATTATCATTATCATTATTATTATCACTATTATTATTATTATTATTATTATTATTATTATTATTATTATTATTATCATTATTATTGTTGTTGTTGTTGTCGTTGTGACTGTTGTTTGTTGTTTTTTTTCTCTTCGTATCTTCTAGGCTGGACAGTCGTTAACATTAATTAGAGATATCACAGAAGAAAGAATGATGGTGATGGTGACGATGACGACGACGATGATGATACTGATGATAGTGATGATAATAAGATAATGATGATGATGATGATGATGATGATGATGATGATGATGATGATGATGATGATGATGATGATGATGATGACGAAAATATTTCCAGCGACGAATGATGATTGATAATTACGTAATAATGATCACACTGTGACCAAGACGACGACGATGATGTTGAAGATGATGATGTTGAAGATGATGATGATGATGATGATGTTGAAGATGATGATGTTGAAGATGATGATGTTGAAGATGATGATGACGATGATGATGTTGAAGATGATGATGTTGAAGATGATGATGACGATGATGATGTTGAAGATGATGATGTTGAAGACAATGATGACGATGATGATGACTATGATGATGACGTAATGATGACGTAATGACACGATGCAGGCCCTCCAGATGATAGCAAGGCAGGCGACTTCAGATCCTTTTTCCCTTACGGTCAGTTATCATCACCTGAACTATCATCATCATCATCATCACCTTAACTATCATCACCATCACTATCATCACCATCTCCATCGTCATCAGCATCATCAAAAATCCAAAGCTATCATCACAAACAGTATTTCATTCATTGGTAATATGCGTGTCTGTTCCTCTGGCTGTGCAGACATTGAATGAATAAATATAGATATATATCTAATATATCTATATTTAATTGATATTAATATATTAATAGATATATATGATATTAATATGATTAATTGATATTAGTATATTAAGTGATATATCTATCTATTTGTAGTTGATACCTACATATAAATATCGGATAAAGACTGAGAGAAATGCAATTATTGATAAAAATCATAGCATGTTTCGCGTTAGTTAGCTTCTTGTTTAATTTTTCAAGTTTTTCTAACGGTAGATCGTAAATCATTGTCAAGTTTCTCGAGTTCAAAAACAACATTTTTATTCATTTAAACATGATAGAGCAAAAAAAAACATTTTTCGGCATTACTGTACCGTCTTCGGTGTTCGAATTGATACGTTGTGTAGATGCCCAAATATACACACACACACACACACACACACATATATATATATATATATATATATATATATATATATATATATATATATATATATGTGGTGTCTCTACAAAGTTAATTCTTTGTTTGTTTACTGTGAATACTTAACTATCATTAAATTAGTTTTACAATCTTCAACTTTGTGCAACGTGTCATCATTATCAATGGCTCCTCTGTTTCTAAATTCTTCAGTGGAATGGACTCGTTCGTTGAATATTCATTACCTAACATCCTATAATTTATATATATATCATATTTTATATAGTATAATGTTTATATGTATTATACTTTTATATAGTATATAGTTATATACTTATATATGTATATATATTTATATGGCCAATTGATTTATATTTATACATGAGATTTACTTTATGTATGTATGAATAGACATGATTTATTTAGCCTTTTGTTCAATCGTTACATCATCGTTCATCATCCAATAATATCATTC